AAAGCAGAAAGTCTGTACAAAAGTGACACAAATTTAACTTTTACTGATAATTTGGCTGTAGAATCTGTCCGGGCCAAACAGCATCTGATTTGAATACCAGAATCAGACCACAGAGGTGTTTGTTCATACATTTCTTATCTCTCATGTGACCTTTTGCTTACAACAACTACTGTATACAGAGAAGAAGGATCGTCTTAAAAGGTACGGGAAGTTGTTAAAGACTATAAAAACAAGTATCATACTCAATCCCTCATGACTAGAGTGCTCTGGTTTGTATTTAACAACTTTATAGGTATCTTTCAAGCTCAGCACAAGAATCTTGACCTTCACCAAACACACTGTCGTTCTTACATCGATTCAGAAAGGCCTCTATGTTTTTGTTTCTCCGCAGGGCAGGATAGTTCAAATCATGAGCCAGCGCGTTCACGGAATCCTGAAAAACAGAAAAGACAAAATATTCAATCAACCTCTAAAAACAAGCGTGTGGATTTAAAAACAATATAAGATATGTAACTTCTAGATTTACCACTGGTGTATGGAAAAACAAATTGGGATGATATTGCTTGGGTTTGGCTGACTGATTCAACATGTTTCTAACAAATAGAGAAACATAGTAATGTTTTAAGCTGATTTCAAGTTTCATTTATGTTGGGAAGTCTCCTGTTAATCTACCAGGACAAGTCTTGTAAGACAACCCTGACCTTCTTCTGGCTGATAAAAGATAACAAAAAAGAATGGAGGAAGGAAGGAAGGAAAGAATTACACTCCTGTGAGCTGTGAGCTCCGAAATGCAACATTACGGGAAGAGAAAATGAGACTGCTAATTTGCAGCATAACAAAACAATGACAACTAGACAATGGAGGTTGGATGTAAAGACATAACAGGTCATACAACAATAACTAGTCACATGATGTTGTTTCGCCCCATTGCCCAAACACAGACCCACCAACACCCGCTCTATCCAAACAAACACAAAGCCCTCCCTATGGCTTAACACTGAGGGCCAGCGGCAGCATCAGACCAAAAGCCGGGGCCTCAGTAGTGTCATCGGTGCTTAAATCATCGGTGTTGAGTTCCACTTTGAACCAAAATGTCTGCGTGATCCAAACACATGAGGCTGGTAGGGCAGCTGGGCAGGTGGGTGGGGGTGTAGCATGACCCTCTGTTCCCCAGAAACAAGGGTCAAATGGAGTTATCCAGTGAGTGTTTGTGTGTGGGTGGGTGGGGTAGCGTGGTTGAGCCACAGCGGTGTCTATCCGACTGTTTGTTCGGGGATATGTGAGTGGGTGGGCAGGGGCATGTGGAACAATTCTGCACCTTTAAATAGCAGCGGTGCGGACCGATCCCCCCCCCCCCGCAGACGGGTGGAAATAGACCTAAAGGCTCAGAAGCTATTGTGGGACAAACAGCTTATGGTTCAGGCTGAGCGTGCTAGGATCTGTGATCATTTTGGGTAAAGACAAATAATAAAACAAGACAGAACAGTCTGGTTAACCTCCAGCCTTTAAAACCAGGAAACGACAGTAGCACAGTAGAGCAATGTTATAAGTGTGTCACAAGGATGTACAGTACATGCACGCACACACACACACACACACACACACAAGCAACATGAGATCGGCTTCACGTTATTGATAACAGTTAGCAGCAGTCTTGTGGAGAGTTTGTTGGTTGAAGAATGATCTGGAACTTGACACCAGTAAGACAAAGGGACTTAGTTGAGAGTCACTGAGACTAGCAGTTTATTTAAGTAACATGGGGTTAATGTCAAAATTGCATTACACTACTGAAAAAAGAGGCCTTTATTCTTTATCATAATAATATTATTATTATTATTCTACCATGATTGTCTCCATTACTTACAATGTACAGTCAGTACATGTTATCTTGCAGGGTGAAGGGTTCAGGATTCAAACATCTTGCCTCCTGATTGAGCCTCAGACCAGCCAGAGCCGAGGAAAATTAGATGAAAGTGGTTTGATTTTCACTTCTGGAATCTGGACAAATCTGAACACGATCCTACCGTTTAGGCACAGGAGTGTGTCCTCGCCTCAGACAACACCTCCCACCTACTCCACCGTGAGCGGATACTGCCAGAGCACAGTCAGCAAACAATGGAGAGGTTCTCAGAATAAAAAAATATAAACTGCAGTCCTGCCAGCACAGACCAAGTCTCTACCAATCCAAAGGAAATACATACAGAAATAAAACAGCTTATCTTAGAGAAAAAGCTTCACCGACTGGCTCCCAAATCTGTTTCTTCTGCGGATTGAAAAAAACCCCACTTCAGAACACATCTTTTAGGCAAACACAACAAAAATGATTGTGAACAAACAGGAAATACTGATGTGAGGTCACGGCAGGTTAACTCCATCTCAATTCCAGGAAGTGACTTCAGCATCCTGTGTGGTAGCCCCCAGTATTAGGCAGCCCGGAGTCTGTAGCTGTGTCCACTACAAAGCTGCTGAAAATAATGACTGAGGGTTTGACGGTATGGAATGACTTCACTTTGTTGTCTGATTGTAACATTTTACAGACATGGCTTTACACTGCACTGGAATTGTGACTCATCAGCTCTGGGAATGGTTTCCTCCAGCAGGAAATGTTGCAGATGAAAGGGTTGTTTGTGTGACAACCTGTACCATGTACATACAACATCAAATCTCCTTTAACTATCTCATCTATTCATCAGGTTGACATATTGAAAACACTAAGCATGATTCTTCTTTGCTCCAAATGTCACCAGGATAACCTGACTGACCACCAACAATGGTAGCGTGCTGTTGATATCAAACATGTAATCAAGCAGCTGAATAACTCAAACATGATGCGATCGTGTTTGCTAAGCGAACGCGTAACCATGTAGAAAAGCAAGTTAATCCCGTCTTGACATATCCTCGGGTATCTCTGCATCGATAGGCCTTGGTTGTGAATTGTGTAGACCTAAATAAAAGTAAGGCAAGTTTTACGTTGAGCCCTGGTGGTAGATCCTGTTAAGAGAGAGGGCCAGGACAAAAGCTACTCCATATCAGCTAAATAAGTGTATTTGTTGTCAAAGGTTGGGGCTGAGAAGCTTATAGCAGTGGCAGTAGTTTTATCAAAGTTTGCCAAGTACATTTTTAGGACAGGTCAGAGAGGACATGTTAATTAGAGGCCTCACCAAGAGACGAATCACAAATGGACAGTGATGGAGTGAAAATAAAACAATTAATGGATGAACTCAGGTTTTAAGGAGGGCACTAATTAGCTCGTCGGTCTATAGCCTTGATTGGGAAGGTTCAGTTTCACACCCCCTTTATTAAATACATATTTTTTGATTGTCAAACTCAATTTCCTATCATATATTTCCATCAAAACTGTAAAAATGAGGATTAAACTGTATTCATAAAAGGAAAAGGAGGCACCAGGTGTGGTTTCCCTCCGCTGCCTCCCTGATTGAAAGCCAAAGTATTGATAAACAAATGTCAACGGAGCTTTTCAGAAGCAGACAGTGCGTCTGGTTTTTGGTTTACTCCAGCTTTCCTCTAAGACAACAGGCATGTCTCTTCAGGTGATCTATGATCACGACAGAACAACAAGTCAGAGCATTGCTATGCATGTGTGCGTGTGTGTGTGTGTGTGTGTGTGTTACTCATTATGTCTAAACTGGGACACTGCTACCTGTATCAGACCCGGAGGGTAAATGCAAACTCACCAGCAGGGTTTCCAAGTTTAGTGCCGACTGTGGGTTCCTCATGAGGGACTCCAGCTTGTTCAACCGGCTTTCCAGTCTGCTCTCCGCACCGAGCATGATTACAGTGCAATGTTTCCAGGTCAAATGACATGAAATAGCAAAAGTAAAAAAACCACCTGTAGGGCCGTCTTTTTGTCTCGGGACAGAGGCGCACTCCGCTACTGCTTGGCTCAGCTCTTAATGTCAGCTCTTCTGTAAACTGCCGCTTGAGTTAATTATTCATCCGCTGCTTCCCTCTTTTTTCATTAATATCTTACAACAAAGTGGAAACGGATCGGTCGTTTGAGAGACTCCACTTCCAGGTGCGCCCCGTCTCCTCCCAGGTAGAATCAACACAGTCTGATCCAACCACAACGTGTTCAACCCGCAGTCCAGACCACCGTCAAGATACACAGCACGGCTTCCGGCTACAACTATCAAACTAAAACCCAAAACAGTTTATAATGTTAACTAATACGGAGGGTGGAAAGGGAAGTCCAAGTGAGAAATAATATAAATATTGAATATAATACATGATTATGTAAATAGGTGTTTATAATTAAGAAATACTAGTCTTTGGAATGTGTACATTTTGTAAATTAGCAAAATAACTAATCTAAGTGTATGGTACAAATATTCTTAACACATTTACATTACACATTATATGTAAATGCAATATTTTGAATAGTATAATTTTAAAAATAATTTGGGACTACTAGCTTGAGTTGAGAGTGAACTTTCAAGCTCAAATTAATTGTGTAATTTATTTAAAGGCATTTTTCGTTTTTAAAATGTTTCTTGTCATTCCAAAAAGTATTTTTCCCTTTTGTTTTTCGTCTTCCTATTTATTTTTTTTATTTTGACGTGTACTTTACATCAGTTGTGAAGCACTTTGTAGAATATCTGCACCAGTTTGTATGACATGTGTTATATAAATAAAGTTTTACGTCAGAACATTTTAGAATTGGACTCATTTTATTGATTTGAAATAAAAACATCATGTTAAAGTTCAAACAAAATGATAAAATAATAACAAAACATAGTGCTATCAGAATACATTGTAATCTCAACGGTAAGGTTGATTGGTAATTTTATTGTGAAGGAAAGCATGTTCATCCGGTTTTATGCTGCCTAATGGTAGCCTGGGTGACTTGCCAAACATGAGTCCCATATCGGTTCCACTTCCCTGTTTTCCTGTGTACTGATAAGGGGTTTGAGTACTTGGTCTCTGTCTTACGCTTGGAAAGTTTCCCCAGACCGGGATTCTGCTGCCCCCCTAACCCCCTCTAATCACTGCTCCCAGCGAGCCCCTCAATAAGCCGGAATTCCTTCTCTGTTATCTCATTCATCTGTTTTGCAGTCACAGCTCAGAGCCTTGACCAACTTTCAGTATTCTAGGAATGCTGATGCGCTGCCTTGCAAACACGCTGGCACTAAAAATAGAAATGTACAGGGATCTCAGTACTTTGTCAGTCCTACAACTAATGTCAGGATAATTGTTTTATAAATGCGTGTAAATGAGTTAGGCTAATACAGGCTTACACTCAGACTCAGAAGGTTAGGCCACATGACAACACTATAAGCACTAAATATACTTGTATACTTAAAGCCCTCTTAGAAGTACAAGTTAAAAGAAAAGATATAGATCGAAAAACAGGGAAAACACACCACATTTTCTTGCTCTTAGAATAACTTTTATTTATTTTACTTTACAAAGAGGTCTCCACCAAAGCTCTCGGTTACTGAATCAATATTCAAATACAAACAATCTGCGAATAATCTATTCAGACAGTGGGCTAAATGTTTGACAGGGGAGGTCAGAAAGTACCAATGATTCTCTGAAAATAATATTTTTTTTGTCCAAACATTGGATTAACACACATATCAGGTCAGAAATGGCAATGATTAAAATGTGCAATACAACCAACAATGGCAGTCTTTAACAATGTCTTTATTGGCCTCTGGCGTCAGAGTAGAGGAGCACTTGTTGACACCACAGCTATTTGCATGGAGTGATGTCATCACTGCCAAAGTCCCCTGGCCAGCCGAGGATGACACTAACATAATGGCATGACCTGTGGTGAAGATGTAGGCTGGAATGAGCGGGGTTGCTGCCGTAGGCATACACACACACACACACGCACACAAACTGAGTTTTGGAATGATGGCTGGGGTGAGTCACATTTGGAGTTATTCTAGGAGTAGGCCATGATGACTACTTATCCCAGGGGACTGTTGAACTCTTCATTGAGAAGAGGCTTTGAAGGGCACTCTGGGTCTTCTTGACACATGCTGTAATGGTGGGTAAAGAGAAAATAATGGCAGCAAGATGTGGCGGAAAAGATATATACTTGGCATTGGGTATCGTTCAGCTGGCACTGAGTGCAGTGTTATGTTCTGTGTACTCATATGGGTTTCAGCAGGCTGCCTATGGGTCTCCTGGTGCTTTCTTGTCAACTAAGGGCAGGTGCAAAGTTAAGAAGGCAAACACTGCTCTCTAGTGGGGATACAGTATATAAACATAAAGAAAAGGGGCATTTAAGAGCTTCGGCACTCACAAAATACAATCATCAAAGAAAAAACATGAAGAAATATAGAACTTTTTTTGTGAAAATCTACAGATGCATCATCCATAAGTTAATATAACATCAAATAGTATCTGTTTAGAGCCCAACAAGAAAAACTGAAATTTTACAATGGGACAAGTGTTGACAAAGCCTCAAAGTGATCTATCTGGATCAAATCTCATCCCCAACAGCGGTAACTGTAATACTGATCGCTGCATACTACAGCATTTGATGGTTGAGTATAATACCACATTTGGTAATATTACCAGCCTGATTCTTAGAATTGTCTGATCAGAACCAGTGACAAAAAAAAATTTGTTAAACTGTCATGAGGCATGAATGTTCAGGGTTTTACATACATGGCACTTGGTGCTAAAAGTGATTAAAATTCTGATATTCTATCAAAGTTTTGGCAGATCGGTTGAAAGGTAAGCGACCAACGACATCAGGACGTTCACAGACCATGTCAGCTACTGTGTATAGGTGTATAGGTGTCCTTTCTCCTCAGAGATTGAGTTATTCTGCTCAGTTGTCTGTCTTAACAGCCTAGCCAGGCTCTCTCCACACAGTGTATAAACTGCCCGATGATAAAGTCTTAACCTCAGCAGAATTTCTCTCCTCCCTTGAAGGAAGTGAGCAGAGTAGGGAATCACAGGCAATCAGTTGTGAAGAATCGAGCCTCAGAAATACGTTAAAGTGTACCGTATTTAGATTGGGCGGCGAGGTGGAGAAGGGTATACCATATTCCTGGCTGTCGGTCAAAAAAATAAAAAAGCTCCTGAAGTCTGAACCCCCGTCGGCCAGGTAACCCAAAACCTGGAGTGGGGAGTCAGCGTGGGATATGGGGAGAGGAACAATGTGGCTCTTTGTGCAAGCCGGGCAGGGAAAACAAACCGTTTCCCCTGGAAAGAGATCATGTTCAGGCTCCATCTGAGAAGACCACACAAGGCTGATCAGAGCCCTGTCTTCTGTTTGGAGCAAGGAGAGGAGGAGGAGGAGCAAGAGGAGCGCATCTGGGCAGCCACACAATACACACACACAGACACACTTGAGGGCAATGTCAGACAGGGAGAAGATCTGAGATGCTCAAGCGCTCACTGAACACAACATAACACACTAGCCAGCAAAACTCTTTGGTCCAAGACAAAATGTGTGACTGTGTTGTGTTCTTCCCCCACGGTGACTTGTGGTAATATGGCCATCTGGACTGCTTCCTAGGTTGGCACCCTGCTGGTCTACAGGCAGAGCAACACTCTGGTGGGCTGACAGGCTGAGGGACAGGCTGGAGGTTGTTAGCACTGGCGTTGTCCACAAGAGGGCGTGGCACTGAATCTGGCACCGCCATACAGTGTTAAACAGGGCGTCTGTTCATTAGGTTCAGCAAAAAAAAAAAAAAAAGAGAAGACGAAGGAGTGGTGAGATGTTATAAATTCTGGGCTGATTCTAATTTCCATTTCTAGGATATCATATATCAACCTCTCCTGCTCTGGACACTCATTCCTTAATAATCCCCCTATTCTAAATGAACACTCAGAATGAGGCTTTTAGTCACGTCGACACTCAGATAACTGTCACACGGGGCACAATCAAACCAAGAACATCTGGCCTCTTTCTCTCTCACACACTAACACAGATTTTCATTCAAACACACACATATTAAACGTAAACAGACGCACACACACTGTGCATGTAAGGGCCAAACCAGGGTTCTGTACTCCCTCTGTCCCATTGCGTTTTAGTTTCAAACGCTCAGCGAATACCCATGTGGTGGGATCGGATTACACAGGGCTATAAAATATCCCAAATAAAGACAAGGAAAACTGAGACGAAAAAACGGGCTGTTTCCTAAGGTGAAATCCTCCCATTGGCTGCTGATTCTGTCAGAGTGGGATATGGTTGTAAAGACTTTTAGCAGTGGAGACAATGGAACAGGACAGCAATGTTTGGCTCATAGCATAGAGGTGGCGAGCTAAAGTCATTCACATACGCCAGCCAGCTCCCATTACACACAACGCAGGGCCATAAATCCGTCTGCACGACACAAGCTGTATGCTGTGATTTCATATGTATTGGTTACTAAGGGGATGCATGAAACCACAACAACTGACAAGGAGTTAAAGTGGGAACTCATCTTGTGAAACGGAATCTTGTAACTAAAACATCTGCGGTATAAGAAAAAGGTTTATGTTGTGCCTTCTCTTTCATCAGCCATCATTTTCAACAGAATTATTACGCTTAGGAGGAAAAAATGGAGAGAAAATCAGGCCAGTTGAAATCTAAACCATCTCTGTAATACCAGCAGATTAATCTCAGGACATAAAGTAAGATGGTAACAGGATCTCGAAATGGCAAGATATCAGCGGACATGGACTACGGGTGGTGTTACAGCCATTTGGACTACCAATCGGGCAAGTGAAATCAAGAGGCCCTTTGATTGGTCCAAAGTAAAGAGGATTTTCTGCTGTACTCTAACATCAACATCTGGTTGGCAGGGGACAGCGGTGGTGAATGAAGAGAAGGAAAAGGATTGAAAGTTGAGAGAGGGGAGTGCACTCGGTCCGAGACGAGCCGAAGACAGAACAGGATGTCATTATGACATGCGTAATCGAAACACTCTTTTCTAGTGAAGCCCTAGAGCTCTGTCACAGCTGAGGGCTGGCTCTCATATTCACAGCGCCTTATAGTCTGCCTGACAATCACCTCTGTCTCTACAGTGACCTCAGAAACACGTCTGCTCTGCCTCACCGTTCATACTGCAAGAAGCTAGAGTTTGACTTTGGAGTTACACTTAATCAACCTCACTTGATCTGTCTCTCTGTCTGGGTGTCAGGTTGGACAGAGCATCCCATAGCCTCAAGGTCACGATTTCTATGAAGCAGCAGCCATTTGTCCTTCACCTACCATCTTCTCATACATTGCAATCTGCTCTGGATGCATTAGCTAATTAGTAAAAATCTCTCCCTCCCTCTTAAATAGACACATACTCGTATATCTTGACAAAAGTGAGACTACAAATGGGCTGCATTGCAAACAAATCATTGTGACTGTCAGGTTGTGGTTAAGTGATTGCCTTTCAAAGTGACTCTCACTGTCTGTGTCCCCCACCTCCTTCCCCTGTTGTAACCTTAGAGCCCAGAGGAGTGCCAGGTTACTGGGATTCTCTCTCTTTGGTGCCATGCTGTTTAGTGACCACGGCCATACTGTGAGACCTGTTATTCAGCTTGCCCTGTCTATCTGTGAATGTGTGCACATTTTCCAATCCCTAGTCAAATTGCATTTTAAAGTAATTGTTGTGTTTAATTTAACCAACTTGCCATCATGATCACCCATCTCAAATGTATGTACCTGACAATCTCTGAAATGCAGTAAATCCCACCCATGGGCTGCTTGTGGCATGTCTTCTGTGGATAGTTGAGTAAGACAACGTGGTACAGTAGTTCTCTCCTTTCTTCCAATGTACAACTCAGTAATATCAGATAGGACATCTAGTGAAAACAATGCTATCTATACTTTGCCTTGTAATATAATCTCTCACCTCCATCCTCTACTTATTCTGATCACGGATCCGTAGGCATCGCCTCTTCAGAGCCGGCTCCATGTCTCCAGCACTGGGCGTAGAAGCAGGGCTCCGAAGGCTACCCTTGTCTCTGAGTTTGGGCAAGAGCAGCGGGGTGGTGGTCCCACCTGTTTTTGGCGCTGTGGGCAGAGCATAGGCATGGTCCTCATCAGGCACATGGGGGTCCTCTTCTACCTCCCCCACAACTGCTAAGGGCTCTTCTGACTGACTGACTGGGACCTCAACCCGCACTGGGCCAACGACAGAGCACTTGTTCTCTTTGATGGCCTCCAGCTCACTGAGTGCAGGGTCAGTGGGTGGTGCTGGTACTCTCTGGGGTAGTGAGGAGTCCGGACTGGCAGGTGCGAGTGGGGAGGACATCCCATTCGGACTGTGGTCCTGAGATTTCAGGGCAGAGGGTGTAGCATTGTACGACTGGCTGCTACCTGTGGGGCTGGGTGGGTTGTGTGAAGGTGGAGTGTGGGAGTCCTGTTGATGGTAGACATGTGAAGGGGACTGTGGTAGAGGAGGGGTGGGTCTAATGATGTTGTGGAGCCCTGATCTGGTACCCTGCCCAGTTTCTGACTCTCCCAGCCCTGATAGGTCCACCACTCCATTGGCACTGGGCTTCACTTGGGTCCTTTGAAGAACCCTTTGTATGACTTGTCTCTCTGACTGCTGCTGCTTATAGTCTGTCAGCCCTTCTAACCCTGAGGCTGAGCAGGGGGATTTGTTGTACTGTGCTCTGGGGGAGGATGCTCCACTGTGGGGTGTGGATATTGGGGATGGGAATGGCCTCTCTGATTTAACCCAATCTGTGCTGGGGTCACATGGTGAAGGGTAACATTGAGGCAAGGTTCCACCCAATTTGTTGGCTACCAATCTGCTGTCCCCTTCAGGGATCCCTGGAGTCGGCAGCCTTGTAGCCCTGGATCTACTCCTGTCTAACCCCTCTGGTACAGGCTGGATAACACCACTGTGACTTGGAGTTTCTGGGGTTGCTTTAGAAGGGACTGGAATGGGGATAGGAATGGGTATAGGGATAGGAATGGGAACAATAATGGGATAAGGCACCAGGATGGTGGGATGGGGCAGGAGAGGACTAAAGGAAGGAATACCATAGTTCATGATGGGATGCATTGGGACAGGACCTCTATGCATCATGTTCAGAGAAGGGCAGTGCAAGCCAGGGAAGTAGGCTCCTGGGAAGGGATGCATCAGTCCAGGGGGATTCATGGAAGAGGTCGGGGGCTGCAGGTGAGGAGAGTGAGGAGGTCTGTGGATAGGGCTTGAAGGGGGGCCTGGGTGTCTGGGAGGGTTGCCAAGGGGGCTTTTCAGGCCCTGAGCATGAAGAGGAGGTCTGATGAAGGGCATGGGGATTTGAGGTACCGGCTGATGTTCCAAAGGGAGGCGAGGATGAGGTGGAGGATGAAGGGGAGCAGGGTGGGGGGACACCTCCAGAGCAGGGTGAGGGATGGGTCTCTCTAGGGTCCTCAGCCCAGGGATAGGAATCTTGGAATTAGATGAGGATGTCTCTGAGGGGGACATGGAGGTGGATTCTGACGATCCATGGTTTGGCGTTAGCCCTCTAGGGGAAAGGTTTCGATGACGAGCTTCTCCTGCACTGCTGCTCCAAGACTCAGGAGTGAGTAGCTTTTGCCCGGCCACAATGGTGTCCGCCCTCCCCTCCTGGCTGGTTCTGCTTGGACTGGAGCTGGTGAGAGCTGCACGGGCTTCCCGATAGAAAACATCCATCTTGTACTGATTCAGACACTTGGTGCTGCAGAACTGGAGTCGTTCCTCGCCAGATCCGAAGTCCAGGTATTCTTTAGTGTGACGGACATGCTTGCACCAATCACATACCTGTGGCACAGGGGAGAGAGACTGTGGAGGGTTATTGAAGTGACTGATCCCAGCTAAAAACTTTGTATGAATAGAAAGTCATGGGAGAAAGATGAATGCAAGCTACATATATAAAGCAGTTTAAAATTATACTTTACATGGGAAAACAAAAGATACATTGATAGTGTTCTCTTACTCTGACATTGCTGTTTATCTTTAACACCAGTCTGGGCGAGTCCTCTGTATGGAGGTGCTGAGGAGATCTTTCACCATGGAGGTCTTCATCTCTGGCCTGACAGGGGAAAACCACAGTGTGACATAAACCACTGTTGTCAGACCTGAGTTCATCCTACTTTTGATGGATTCCTTCTCCAATTCATGATGATGAAGCAGCAGTTGCTTTAAATCAATATGCTACACTAGAATCATTCTGTGGTCATTTAACCAAATTTGAGCTTCTTACATAACAAGTGCAGAAAATAGCTTCTAATAAACCACCTTGTCATCAAAGTTAGAAGCAGTTTAAACTTCATGCATGCCACCAAACCCTAAAGTTCAACAAAGGGAAATCACTGTGTTGTGATATATATATGATTCTACAACCGAGTATGGAGATAATGCAGGTGATGTATTGTCATATAATTAATGGCGTTGCCAGTATTAATATAGGAAATTCCTCTTGATTCATGTAAGCTGATCTGCTGCCGATCTGAGTGCTCCCCCATCTCTGTAACCCATTGAGTCGTGTTGAGTTACGAAACATGAGGCAGCTGAAGGTAAGGTATGCACTGAAAGTGGACACCTCGCCCCAGGCCTCCTGGCCTTCCTCTCAGACAAGCAGCAACAAGCCAACGGCAATGCTTTTCTCCCCGCCTCCAAAGAAGTGGAGGGCTTGGAATTAGCAGAGTCCGTTCAGCTCTCCCTTTTGGCGTGTGAATGAACCTACCACAGTATAAACAACAGTAAGGGTGAAATGAGATATAGCTGCTTGTCACACCGCACCTCTAAAGAGGGTATATCCATGTCGTAATGGAAAGTGAAAAATCACGGCAAAGGGCATTAGAGCGGTTCTCCACAGTTGTAGCTTTCCTGTCCTCCAGACCAAAGTCACTTAATGGCCAGCCCCTCCTCCATTAATGTGAAACTGATACTAAGTGTCCCCTACAAACTTTGACCTCACTACCTCCATTCCTATACTGGGTCCTCCATAATAACTAAAGTGTGTTCTCACAGATCCTCCCTTTTAAAATTCCTGTAAATGAATCCATCAGTTATGACCTCGCAAGATCAGGAGTATCTGTTTCTGAAGGTCTGTTTACCTGCCAGAAAACACATGATGCCTGGGTCTCCTGTGTATGGAGAGTGACACCCATCGCACAAACTCTGACCATATAAAGTACTTGTATGTGTGAGTGCATTTATGTGTGAGAATCTACTGCACACAACATTCAAAAATATAAAAGCAGATCTACAGATAATTCATAATAAAGATACTGGGATTTCCAACATCTCACCAACAAGGTACAACAAGTCCCACCTAAATGTTTATGACCACCGAACAGTGATGCTGATACGGTATGTATTTTATACATTTTTAGTTGAACCTTTACCTTATTGCGTTTGAAGTAGGCCCTTCTGCAGGCGGCAAAACACTTCTCACTGCAGAAGCTCTTGAGCTCTGAACCCATACATAGAGAGTAGCGTTTTACTCCTTCCTTCTGGCACCAAACGCACACTATCTGCACATTCTGTACATCTTCCACTACAGGGGAAAAGCAGAAAAAAAGTTTGAGGAATTAATGAGCTTGCAAAAGTCTCACTAACCAGCTTTTCTAAAACAGCTCAGTTCCAATATTATTTCAGGAGAGCAAGAGATCCTGTTGCACCCGTGTTATTCCTTATTATCTGCACCACAGCTTTGTGCGGTCCGTAAGGTATACGGACCCTGACACAGAATAAATGTTTGAAGTGTTTTGAGTCTGCACTATGGCTAATTGAAATGAAACAATGACTAAACTTTCAAAATTGTTTTGGACCCAATAGGCTGAAGTACACTTTCAAAACAACAGAAAAATATGTTACTGCTCAGTATATCAAGTTAAGGCTATAGAGCATCAACATCAACTTATTCGGATAAAGTGAGCTGACTCAATTTATCTCAGACTGGAATCTTAGAGAATTGTTTTTTACATACAGCAATAATAACTTGACTGAAAACTCAACGGATGAATTCATTCTATTTTTCCAGCCTATTTATATTCAGTAATTTGCTATTATTTAACATAATAATACTAAATGTAACAGTGTGAGTCACTGGAGGGACAATACATGAAAATAAAAGGATAATTTTGACTGTCATGACTTCAATGAATGCTCAGGACCCATGAAGATATTCCTGAAACCTATACACACTACTGACCCTGCACTCTGACTTTTCACATGTAAACATAATACAAATCATGGATTATGTGTGAATCTGGGGGTAGCATCGCAATAAAATAAAATTATAACACTCAATGGAAAGTTTGGACTACCTGCTGATGGCTTTATAAGGGGTACAATTACAGGGGCAGTCTTCTGCTCCTTAGAGGTGATTAGGGATGAGCTTGTTGAGGAAGAGGAGGGTGAAGAAGAGGGGACACTGGAGGACTCTCTCTCTCCACTTTTCAGTGCGAGGACCGAGTGACCGACTTGGGTGTCCAGGCTCTTGGGTTTTGGCAATGAGTTCTCTGAAAGACATAATCATAGTTGAATGCTCCTGATGTTTCATGTAAAAGAATGGCATAGTATTGCTTAAATGATACTGTAATAACCTTTGCACTCATAACAATGGCTAACACAGACTATTAGTACAGTCGTGTTGAGAAACAATAGATGTATCTAAATGGATGAGACTTGAGACGTTGTAACTACAGGAGAGTATGCCTTCCAAATATGAACAGTGACTCAATGTCTGCACTGAAATCTGCAGAACCTGTTAGAACAGAGAAGTCTTCTTGCATCTACACTAACAATGAACAGTCGACAGCTGCCCTCACCTTTTAGCACAGACACGTGCTGACGTCTCTCTCTGTAGTTTCTGATCTCGTTGGCCTCCGAGTCTCTGAGGTCTACCTTGTCGTAGCCGTACCATCCCAGCAGCTCGTTCATGGTGCTTTCTGCAAACGTCTGTATGAGGAAAAAGAGGAAAATAAATCCCTGATTAACCTTCTAAGTAAAGGGATAGGGTAACGGACCCTGAGCCTGCCTGCAAATGGGAAATTGTGACCGTACATCTTAGGGTTGTTAGTGGAACTTTTTATCCTATGTTAAACATAATCAGACCTTCCTACTCTGAATCAATGCAAGGGATTCTTTTCTCAGCCTCTGCCCAGTTGGGGAAACGAATATGGGCACAGTGGAGTACAGTATGACGCTTTTTCCATGATGTATTCAAGTTGTTTACTCTTGCTAAATCTGAGACGGAAAGGTTTAAAACCTAACACCAGTGTGAAATCTATGAATCATCCTTTGTTTATCTCTTTTAATTGGAAAAAAGAGGGAGAAAAGAAAACTGTTCCCCACAGATGGGATGTGTGGTCTCCCTTTTTTTTTTTATTACGAACAGATGAAAAAAAAAAACCACAAAGGTTTCTCTCTTTATACACCCACCTCTCTCTGTGGCTTTGGGAGAACCGGATTGGAGGAGAAACCTGATCCGGAACAGGCAGAAATCAGAGCGGGACACCCTACACCACAGCGAGGTCCCACGGTTCTCGGAAATGCCCCACTCCTCTCCCTTCGTCTCCCTCCAGTGTCCACCACTCTCGCTCTCTCTTGTCCCCAGCTTTCCCTGTCCCTCCCCTTGACTCCCTTTCTCCCCCCCCCCCCCCCCCCCCCCCTCCCATCTTCACCATCCTCCCCTCCACCCCAGCACCTTCCAGCCCTGACACCCGACACAGCGCTGCCTCTCAGGTTTCACCCTTTTCCAGCACAGCCAGTCTGCTGTGGTGGTGTTGTAGTGCTGTGGTACTGACTGCACATTCTTTCCCCTGCTTTCCTCACTCCGACCTCTGCTCTGCTCTAGGGCCTCAGAGAAATGGATCTCTCCCTTGCTTGCTCACTTTCTGCTGTGTACGTGTGTGTATGGGAGAGTGTGTGGGTGAGTGCAAGCAGTGGTATCATATCCAGCTAAATATGCCTAACGATGATTAAAGTTAAGTATCCGGTGTCTGGTGCTGCGCTCGGGGCTGACGTGGAGGGAGTAGGTCCGAATGTGGTGTTGAAACAGATGTATTACAGAGACAACACGAGGCTGGACTTCAGCTGAGCTAGAAATCAGATTGCCTGCCTTCCTGTCTGTCTATTTTGTCTCACCTCGCCCTTTTACCATTTGACTGATTTCAAATGGTGGACAATGGTTTTACCTTATAATTGAAGTCTTGTATGTTTCACATCACATCTAATTTGGACATTTTCTCCTCTATGCGCAGATTTGCTCTTTCTGTTTTCCTGATAATGAAAGACGGGCTATTTTTTTTTTTCACCAACCCCTCCACTTCCCACAATGTTGTTTTTGTTTCTTTTTGGCAGTTCAGACAAACATCTGCTTTGTGAGAGTGACAAGCCATATCCCAAACCACCAGAGAGAGCTGCAGCCAAAGGCAACAAGCCGGGGCCGACCCTGAGCCCAGGCAGGCTCACATCAAGCAGGGATAGCATTTCACATGTTTTGATTAAAATTAGTTAAGTTGTAACACTACACCTCCCCTGGATATCAAACGCTACAATCCAAACCACTTACACAAAAAGAGCACATTTCCTCTCTCACAAAAGGCAAGACTCTCCCCCCCCCCCCCCGAAACAACTTGCTTGTCTTTTTAGATTTCTGACCTCCTGCTTGAAGGAGCTTCAGATATCCCTTACCACCACAGTCAACACTCTCAAATAGCCTCTGTCCAAACCCAAACAAAGCAGACGATCCATGGATTAGTTTCCATGTAGTAATAATGGTGGGAGGGAATCATGTCTGTTGCTGTTATTTAACCGTGACTGTCCTTTAAAGTAAGAAACGGGAGAGATTCTTAAGGGCCATTACCTAATGAACATTATCTCTGAATAGGAACTTTATTTTGGTGTGAAATGTACATCCTTTAAAATGATGTGATAACACTTCAGTGTTTTTCCCAGTGTAAGGCATTGGCTATTTAAATGATATAAATTCCCTCTCTCTTTTGGAAGGCATAAAGGCAATCCTCTGTGGTGCAAGCAAGTGTGCGCACTGCAAGAGCGGGGAAGAGGTGACGCACATCTGGATCTCCGCTAGACATTATGGTTTGTGCGTCCGGCCACAGCTGGCCCGACATGGCGTCCCTAGGCAAAGGCCAACCTACTCTTATTCACTGAGAACATAATTAAAACGCCCCGCATCTATATGTGTGACATTTTGAGTTTATATTCATATGGTATGATTTGCTATTGTACTCCAAGGGGTGCAAACTTGGAAGATCCCTGTGACTTTTTTCTAAATATGTCACAAAAGGATGTTCATGACGTCTGATTGTTTGAATAAGGAGAGCATTCACAGAACACAAACACTACAGTGTGTCTGATTACTCCCGGCATTGATCTGTGCACAGTTGCCCTCTCTCTCTCTCTCTCTCTCTCTCTCTCTCTCTGACTGCCCTGCGTCGGAAGACGTTGTGCGCGTACAGAAGTTATCACTCGGTCAATAACACGTCTCACTTGATAAAAACTACAGTGACACACAAATTCACTCTCACCTTCATCTCCTGGTTGATCTCTCTCTTTACGGGGTGAGCAGGTTTCCTGCTGCGCTTATTTTCCGGTGGTCTCCCTTTCTCCATCTCTGGCATAGTCCTGGTCGGGCTGGATCCGACCTGGATCACTGTTGGTTGTCAGCTGCAGGTTTTTTTAGCAGAGTAGCTCAGAATGAAAGCTGTCACTCCCGGTGACAGCCGCTGTCATGCCCGGACGCCTGAGTCCCTCATCTGGGGCTTCACACCATTCAAGTCAACTGAACATGCGTGCGCTCCGGGCTGGAGGCTCCTCTGCCGAACAATCCTAACTCTCTCTTCTCCAACAATATCAAGTATCTGCAGGTAACACAGATAAGACTTCCGGTTAGAACTTTCAGAGTAAATTCTTAATTTCAATCTAATTTAACGTGTTGGACAACCAAGAGACAATCAATAACTTAAAAATGGCATTTTGTTGTTAGTATGAATTAAACCAAATGAAAAAGGACTTATGGTCAACATGCATAAAAACGTAAAACTTTATAAAAAAAACAAAAACGTGTTGATGTCAGATAATAGCCGAACCCCAGGTAAAGTCCAATTGAAAATTACCGGCATTGTAAATTGAGCCACCGACAGGTCTCTGATCACTACCTCAACGGAATTTACTCATTTTCACATCACTTGAATAACGAAATAATAAAGAAATAACAAAAATGAAACACAACATATTTGAGGAATTACCCTGAACAACACCACGCTCCGTCCAAACGAATTGCCTGCTGATGAACAAATGCTCGATTTGATTGTGTTTGACTGAAACAAAGTAGCATATTTGATAGCCTTAAACCAAGTTCATGTTGGTAGCTAAGAACATAATGTACATTTTCGAAATACAATCGAACATGTCTACGTAAATAAAGTCTGCTGCTCTCTGATGTCCTTTTGGCGCGATACATGTTGTGCTTTTCTTGTGAAAACAAATTGGCCTAGTTTCCGGTATGATTCGTGCTCTTTCAGTGCAACTTGATGCTGCCCTCTCGCCCTCTCCGGATAGGGAGAGGGAGGGCCCTGTGATTTGATGTAACCCAACACCTGGCGCCCACCCTCCGAAATCTCAACAGATACATTTCATAAGGAATGCAAAGACTGTGCTTTATCTGAGGGGACACAGTACAAACACTGTCTTAAAATAAAGAGATGAAAAGAACGCTGTGAGTTAAATGATACCATGGCAGAATGTATGGGGCTTTCTCAAATGGCATCTGTTTGATCAGCGACTGTGAGACATTGTGTGTGTGTGTGTGTGTGTGTATATATGTGCGCACTGCATAAGCATCTATAAAGTCCACATTCCGTTGATCATGTATCAGCACATACATATTTGACCCATGTTTACTCTTGGCGTAATTATTATACCACCATTTCACTGCTATGTTTCTTTAAATTCAAGCGTCCACTTTTGACTCACATACATAGTTGGCTCTACTGCATCTTTGGCAGAACTTTCACTTGGTCCCTAAACCCCATGCAGAGAGACAGACAGGTAGACAGACAGACAGACAGGCGGGACGTCAGAGCGTCTCTCCTCCCTGTCTCCAGCCGTCCTCGGTCTACTCTGGTTGGAGGAATCCAGGGACCACGGCTCGTGTAAACAGAAACCCGATCCAGTGCTCAGGGCTTGGGTTTCGCCCCCTCGTACGCCCGTTGATGATACCCGATCCGGCCCAGCTTTGGGAACAGGGCTTATCTGATGCCTCACAAAAGGCCCCTCTCTCCGGCTCTCCATAACAGCGCACATCTGGTGCCTCTGCAGGGAGCGCTGTCCCTTTAGGTTCCTCTGGGGGGTGAAGGCGGGGATTAGACCGTCTCACTATTCCTGAAGCAATCCACTTACACAAATGACAGAAGACAGTATTCACAGGTCTATGTTTACAATCCTCAACATCTGGACCGAATCATAAAGAATTGTCACTTTTGTGTATAATGACTTGTATGATTGTCCCTATACGCGATGACAGCGAAAAAGTCCCAGTCTATTTAGAAGATTGTTGAAAATGTTGTAGCCTGATCTTCACAGTGGGATATACCGTGTGATCTACTGTGGTTTACAATAATGTATTTTCACCGTAAGGGGGCAATGTCTACCCATTGGTTTTGCATAATGGTGCCAATGAATGTTTTCCCTTCATCAAATTACATGCAAATAGAGTCATGATGAGTCATGTGTTTCTGGCTCAACTTTAGCATATTAAACTGTTTTAACTGCAATTTGTATTCACATCTGATTAATAACTTTGACAGTTTCCTAACTAAAGCTGAGTAATGTCCGCCTTTGCAAAGATAAACAGTATTTTTTGTGCCGGACATGTTTGAATAACTGGTGCAATCCAGTGCTGACCACCAGGCGTCACTGTTGCCACACTTATAGCTGTAGCTCGACACGAGCGCTTGTTCCAACAGGTTACATTTACTTTTCAGTTTTGTATCTTTCACTCGATTTATGTCATTTTCTTGCCAATTGAAGTCGAAGCGAGGCAACACATTCTGAGTTGTAAACAGTTCAATTAGGTGATGGCATCTCATTAAAACCCAATGGTAGCCTGAACCAAGTCAGTATCACCATGGCAACACAACGTTGGAGGCAGTGTAAATAAGATGGTGGCCAGTTTGACACTGAAGTCGATGAAAGTGGACTCTCCTCCACTGGGAGTCATGCTGTGAAGCATGGCATTTAAAACATTTTGGTAGAAAAGTGACGCATTTGTGACTTCGTTGAAGGAGCATGCGCGTTCAGGCTGACTTCCCAAATGTTTCAAATACAATTAGCCTTAAGTGTGTAATCGTTTCCGTAGAATCGAAGTTCCTGCGGTCAAAGCACTTTATTATAATTCTTCTCTCCACCACGTCCGGGACTCTACGTCACAGACCCAGCTGGTATAAAAGCCTCAGTCCGATGCAGCATCCTCATTAAAGAGAAGCAGCGTCTGTGGGCAGCCTCCTCCTCCTTCTGGCCAATTTACTGCAAACAGAGAAAATGTCCAAAATGACGATCGTTCAGCTTGGAGTGATTTTGTTCGCCATATGTTTATCAACACAGGTATGTTGACATATAATCTGTTATACTGTTTTTAGCTTGCTTTTATTTATTAGGTCATGGTTGGAATTTATTGTGTTGCGGTCAGCTGGTTATCTTTATAGAAATTAATTGTGTGCTGATGGGTTATTTGACTCTAAACGTGTTTGTAGACGGGGCTTAGTTTACTCGAGGTCTGGATTACAGCAGGCTAGACTTGGAAGCTCTCTTGGGAAATTAATATCGAGAAATCCTGTCAGTCGATTTTCTAAATTGCTGTGTGTTTCTTTAATTCTTAAATACTTCAAATTCCAAGTCATAATATTTTTCACATGTATCTTTACTTCTTGATTAGCGTACACTCCAGTGAATTAATGATTCAGGTGCAGTGTATTATGTACCTGTGCAAAGGTGGGGAGAGAATCTAAAGTTTCTTTTCGGTGTGCTCAAGGAAACCTGATAGGCACGCGGATAAACTTAGGTCTCTCTTATCTTTTTTGCTTTTCATGTTGTTAGAAAGTATGAGCAGTCAGAAATAACAGTGGCAATAGTTAAAAAATGTATAAAGATTAAGTGACATTTTGATTGATTTCCGGTGTATCCGGTGCTTTATTGAGTTTTGGTACTATTCCCTTCCTGTAAAAGTTATTTTATTGTAATTTGCAGTTTATATAAAGCATCTGGTATTTCTCATCAGTGTATAGTTCCTCATGTGACATTTTAAGGTTATCACTGAAGCAGAGGCTTTGATACAGTTTGACAAGTTTTAAACCCTCTATCCTCTATCCTCCATCCTCCTCCTCCTCCTCCTCCTCCTCCTCCTCCTCTTCTTCTACTTCCTCCAACAGGTGGTTTCCCAGAACAGCACAAACCCCACATCATGGGGAAACTCCACCTCCGACCCTAACGCCACCACCATGGCCACAGACACCCACAGCAGTTCGGCCAACACTACCGGCCCTACCGGATCAGGCGTCTCGCTGCATGCAGGCACCGTCTCCTTCCTGGCCCCCATCATCACGGCAGCCTCTCTCCTGCAGCGCTACTGTTGAAGCCTCGGACCCCAGAGACCCCCCTTTCTCGGCCTCAACACTCCTCCTCACCTCTCATCTTATCATCCCACCCACTCCGACTTCACTCTTCCCCCCCCTTTCACCGCACTGCACAGAGACCACAAGACTAACATGGATGGACTCCACAACCTTTTTTGTCCTCCTTAAATTTGTGATAAAAATATGTATAATTCAAGACATTTCTTTCAATAAGGGGGGTTTAACCGTCACCTGGAGATCACCAAGACCCCCTCAGCCCCTTGCATGGAATCAAAAGGAGCGGCCCTTTCCCTTTTGCCTTGCGTTTCCATAGTAACATCACCAAATTCTGGAGATGCTCAGGGCTGCGGTTGTCATGTCACATGTCTTGATTGAAATGCGGACCACTTGAGTGTACAGAGGGTCTATTTGTGGCTTTAAATCCACCTGGCAATCAATATCAGAATGTTTTTTGTCTGTCAAGTTAAGTTTGGCACATACAGTAGGAGTTTATTTCAAAAAAGTACGAGCCGGATGACAAATTCTAGTTGGGTTCTTTCATAATTTGACTCTTCGGTCTTTTTATTAGAATTGTCAAAGAGATGTATGTAGCAAATAAGTTGCCGCAAGACTTGTGTCAGTTTTGCCTTGTGATGTGTAAAGAGTTGCGGTCTTTTACAATGAGGGTTTGATTGACACCTTTCCCCCCCTTCATCCATGGGTCAGACCCAGGGAGTGATATGTATATTATAACCATATGGGAAGGGTTGATGTTAGATTTATATTTCCCCCCTTACAGTTTATATTTTGTATAAATGGAAATGTTGTTCTGTTTAATAGTTTGGGTATAAGATAATGGAAGAAATGACAATGTACAATAAATTATGAAAAATGATCACAACAGTAATTGTTTCTTTGATTCAGTTTAGTTTAACTTTTGCTGAAATGTTTATCTTTCCTGTGAAAGCAGCACTCAAACCAATATTTTATTAATGCTGTGTCTTTGCATGGATCTCGGTCCATAAAATCATCCCGATGCTCTTCATCTAAAGGGTGTGGTGGCGTTGTATTCATCATTACTGAGCTGCCTGCCAGTCTAGACGGGCAACTGCTGAGCTGCAGACCAGAGATGGACTCAGCATTCCCTGATGCCCCCACTGATCTCCTCTGGATTAGTGCCAGAGCAGCACGATATGAAACAGCACCAGCCTCTCTGGTATTCTAGTGATGTACAAAGCCTCAACAAGCCTGCTTACATTCAGAATTATGATCTTTCCCCCAAGAGGAGCGAAGCTGTTAGCATGAAGAAACCTGTTGTTTCATTTAGAAGTTTGACTACCGTTATTTATGACTTTCATTTACTGCGAAGCATAAAAATGAGTTTAACGCTGCAGGAATATAAAGGATTATCTTATCTTATCTTCTCTTCTCTTAAAGAGCCCTAAGGGAATGCAAGGTCGTTTTTGATTTTGCGTTCAAAGAAGTTTGGCTTTTTGCTGTTACTCAACACGGTCTAGTCCTAACTTTATCCCAGTGTTCAATTCTCCAACAGCTGCAGCGCATGGAAAATATCTGTATAAACACTAATGTCAATTACATTTAATATGGGTCTCAAACATAATTATGAAATATATATTATTGGATGTATAATAGTTTATCTTAAAATATCATTTAAACTATGGGAAAAAGTTGAATGGAGTAGTATTATTTGCCAGTATTAGAGTACAATTTGTAATCAAAAAAGTGCCCATTCAATTTAATATGTTTACATGTAGAATAATACAGACAAATAAGCGCAGTGCTATCTATTTAATAGAACTTATAGCATTTTGGAACAAATCTGTTTCAGTTATAAATCTCCTTCATAGTGTTTTTATCTGCTTTCTTTTCATGATTATCTTAAACAATACTTTGTTTAGTTTTAATTTGTTTCGTTTTTTAGGCAAGCATCTAGGTGAAAGTATTAAAAACTGATCAACAGAAGCAAAACTACCAAATACACCACTGTGTGTGTGTTGTGGGTGATTGCTGTGATGGCAGAGTGAGTGGCGTGCAGCACCATGACTCATTAGCCAACACTATTGTCTCTCAATCCTCTCTGCACTATTAACCTCTCCCCACACAACAGCGCCTGCCCACATCTCCCCACATCTCCCCACATCTCCCCTCCCTTTTCCGGATCTATCCACTTACTGTCCTCCACCAGTCTGGTCTGCAGGGACTGTATAGATGTGGGTTCTCAAAGAATGACTAAGGGTTTTCTTTTCCTAAATGCTGTTGAAAATGAGCGTTTGTTACAACTGGAGTGTTTGACTTCTATGAGATAACAATTCACCAAACAGTTGGTTTAATACACACTGACAATCAGGAGAGAATCTGAGTTTTTGGATGTTGAGAAAAACACAAAGAGGATAAACACGAATATAACATGCATGACTGAAAACACCGTACGATCTGCAATTCTCAATAATGAATTACAACATTATGTTATGCAATGGCAGTGCCTCGAGTAATGATGCTATTTACTCCAGGTATATAGAACGCAACATCTACACTGACAACCTTATGAGTCTGGAGCAGCAACAAGTCCTGGGAGAAGTCTGGTAAGCTTTAATTCCATTATAAAAACAACTACTATTATTTCATAATTAGAAAGGGTCAGCCAACTGATTCTTGTTGTATGAAATGGATTGGCAATGCAATCGGCATTTCTGGTAGCCTTCAAATAAACATCCAGTACAAGTATTGAACAGAAGGAAAGGCTATTTATTACAATCCAATACAACCTCACGGAATACAGATTCAACAACTCTGTGACTGAAAAACTGAACATGTAGTATTTGTGCAGGGTTGTACTGTTTTATTATTTCTTTTATATTTTATTTTCATCACACAAAAAAGTAACATCTACAAACATCCACAACCCACATTCAAAACCAGATCAAAAACAAAAATGACAGCACGAAGAGTGAGTCAGAGAGAAAAACAACAATGTAACCTTTATTTAACTAGGAAGTCACAATGTTTCAATCTATATCATTAAAATAAAAGCATCTGGCTAATTGTCCATGAATTTCTGTCCATCTCTTGTATAATTCAGAACCACTCAAACAATACAGGGTCAGATAAAGAGAATCGACCATCCCATGATTATGTTTTTCTTTGAGACTGACCATGTTGACACTGATACACTAATAGATTTTATAAGCTATTAGGATAATGTAAGCCAGTTATTGCCCAGCAATAATATGAATATTATTCACTTAAACTCATCATATGACCTTTTGCTGTCCCTGAGAAAGACAATTTCCAATCTTGACCGGGGAAATAAAATATATTTTAATTAAAAAACATCGCTTTTGGCTCACTAGTGTATATTAGTAGCATTATGTAGAGTAACACTTCAACACACCTCAGTACAGTACTTAGCTGAGTCATTTCTATGGCGATGGGTCTCAAGTGTCTCAAGTTTCCCTCCATCGCTGCTACTTCCCTCTCTTTTATTGATTCTCTGAGCCAAAATGACAAGTAAAACATCTCATAAATTCAACCCTTTTCCCCCCCACAAGATTCTTGGTTTATTACTTTTGACCACAAATTGCTGAAATGTTCACATAAAGCACTTCCCATCAGTCAAAAAGTTTGTGTATTTTTCCTGTCAATGACGTTCTGTAGGGCTTGGCAGTTTATTGTGTCTAGTCCCTTCTGATTATTCTGAATAAGCCAGTATTGCTGCTTCCAGTAACATCAGAAGCATTGCTTCCTGTGTGCCAGTGTTTTTTCTCTCCTGGAAAGAGCCATTAGAGACAGGCCGCTAGCACCAGCAATTGTGTGGGCTGTCATTACGTAGGTATGGATTAAGTCGCTATTATGTTACACATAACTGGAAATATAAAAAGTCTTAAAATGGTAGTCTTAACAATAAGTGGAATATTTAACATGTTAAATACCACATTCTGTGATCAATAATTTAATTTAAACAAACTTTTAGTAATACAAAGAACCTTCAGTTAAATTGTATAATTTCCCCGTAAGTTTCACTTCCCTTCTTGCTATTTCTTGATTGTCTGTTTCCCTCAACATCCGTACTATGTCCATAACCATGAATGACATACGGGGACCTCTCCTCTGGTGTTAGGTGTGACACCCAGCAGACCTTTAATCATTGATTGGCATCATGAATTATTCAGACAGCCGCCAGTGTTACAGGGACAATGTCACACAAACACATGCACACACACACACACACACACACACACACACACACACACACATATATTGCTTTACTCCCAGGACACATGGACACCCCTCTCCTCAGGGCCTTTCATACACTTCTTTGTGTAAAAGCAAGTGGTGGGATCACATGGTCATTATTCATACATTGTGTTGGGATATGGAATAGAGGCATGTGCATATTCCCCATCTCTCTGTGAACACCAGTTTGACTGTTTCTGTGTTTGTGTGGCAGTAAAGTAAGTGATATTAGATACAGTTGTCACGTTCTTGTCATTAAGGGCCTCCTGACTTGTGTCAAGTTTCAGGACTGTAGTAAGACGATTCACTACAGGGTAGGAACAATACAGTAGCGTTTTAGATAACTAATCTGTACGTTTCATGAAAATAAAACTTATGTGCTATAAAATCCACTTATAAATTTCAAATTTAGCTTTTTTTTTAACCTAGTCTCCAGCTGTAGTGTAGAGTTTTTTAGCTTCCACTCTATCCAATAATTGTTTTGGGCTCATAAATAATCCAGTTCACACCTCAGACAAATGTGAGGCTCGGTGTCACACCTGTCCAACGCTTGTTGCCTAGTGCCCAAACACCCACTCTCCACCAGCTGATTCAGATGGGAGATGACTGAGGTAAAGATTGTATGTTGACTTCTCAAATGGTCAAATCAGCTGCAGAAACTAACAGCAGCTGCTCACACTCTGTTCTCACAGTACAGTCTGTACAACTCCTGGTTTTCCAGAGAACAACAACTAGCCTTTAATTTGCTTGGTACAGAGAAAAATATGTTGCAGCTGCAGTGAGCTGCGTCATAACAATCTATTATTAGGGACATATTAATTGAAAATAGAAGCTGTAGTGAGTGTCTTTACAGGAGACATCAGAGTACATTTGAACGAATGTTTTTTTGAATTAATGATTAATTCATAATTTTCTAATGCATTATAGATCTTTCATAAGCCATTATTAAAAACAACTTTTTGAGTTGCCAGGTTGTGAGAAAATCGTCTGGATCCATTTGGTAATAACACTGTTGTTAATGTTCATAAACCATTAATACGTATTTGTGGATTTCACACTTCCTGATACGCCAGCAGCTATACATGTTCAATCTCATGTGCATCAATAAATGCTCAGCCTCTTGTGTATCTAGCAGTTTATAATGTGGATTGAATTCTGTAAAAGAATTGTACAAGCTGAACGAAGAACTCGAGGAGGTGACGTGCCCTCAAAGCCTAAAAACATGTGTTTTCAAAAAAAACAAAGCCATTCAAATCCTTGTGAGTCCTGCTGCTGAAGAACCAAATGAGTTTGCAAAGAAAGGACCTTCTGACTTTTGATGTTGAGGACTTGAGGACCAAGACAATTTACACACATTTACATTCTTGCAAACCTCCTCTCTCAGATTTGCACGGTTTCCATTTTAATTAAGAATATGTACTTTAAAAACGTAAGGTTCATCTTTAACTTTCAAATAAAGTACTCTAAACTATGTTCTTTTATGTAAACTTCAAAAGTAAATTCATACTATCGATTACTTTATAAGGATGGAATGGAAAACAACGCTACATTTTCAAAATAATATTTAAATGTATTACATTTAATTAATTAATTGAATGTATTAATATGATTTCTGTGAAAGCTGGAAATAATTTTAAATCAATATTT